GCGCGCGCGCTGGCCCGGCAGCATGGCGGCGGCGGGCGGCCCACCGCCGGGTCCTCCACAGCCTTCGCCGCCGCCGCCGCCTGAGGAGTCGTCGGACAGCGAACCCGAGGCAGAGCCCGGCTCCCCGCAGAAGCTTATCCGCAAGGTGTCCACGTCGGGCCAGATCCGCCAGAAGGTGAGCCCGCGGCGCGGCGGTCGGGCGCGCGTCCCTCACGCCGTGGCTCCTGCCGAGGCCCGTGGTTGTGCGCGAGCGGCCGCCAGGCCCGACCCAGCTCGACCCGGCCCCGTCTGGGGTCCCAGGGCCGCCGTAGCTCGGGCGAAGCACGCCCCGCTGGGTAACGGGCCAGAGCGGCGGCGAGGACGCGCGGGGCGGGGCGGGGCGCAGGTGGGCGCCGCGTAGGGGGCGCGGGCGAGGTTGGGGGCCGGCTCGGCCAGGCGCTGTCGCTGGGAACCCTGGCTGCGTCGCGTCTCGGCTCTGTGCGTTTCTGGGCACCGAGCAGGCTCTGTGCTGGCTGCTCTGCAGATTACTGTAGTGCCCCTAAAGCCCGTCTTTTCTCGGGTGCGGGGTCTCCCCTCACCCCTGTAACCTGAGAGGGAAGGGATGCGCGGTCCCCGAGCAACGCTGCCTGCTCCTGGGAAGCTGGCCCAGCGCACCCGCCGGGCACCCTACTCTCCATAGAGAACTCCTTGGACGCCCGGCAGTGGCTCCAGGACACAGGTTTTTTCGTCAAGAGGAAAGTTGCAGCCTTTGTTTTCCCATTGTGGTTCCTGGTGGGAATTGTTTCAGGTTTTTGCTCCCGTGAGTCCTTCTTGGACCAAAGATTCCGTGGGCAGGTGGCTGGACAGGTGGCTGGCAGCAGGTTGGCTCAGTGGGGGCAGTTCCGGCTGGCACAGACTGTCTCATCCTGCTGCAGTGCAGTGCGCTTTTCCTTCGGGGCCAGTTAGTCCCTTTACCTTGGGAGCCATTTCTTGCGTTATCTTGGATAACTCGGATCTGGAGAGCGTGTTTAAATCCTAACGTGTTACAAACTGGGTTGTTGTGAAGCTCATCACTTATTGAGAGGATACGTACTGAGCACCTGCACTATTCTAGGCATTGTGGTATTGGGAACTCTAGCAGAGCGGTAGCACATAGCGGTCCTTTGGTGCTTACTCCGTGACAGCACTTAGTTTTAGGTTAGCTGTGGACACCTTAAATGATTAACTTAGTGCAGTTGGGAACCTAGTGAGTCAGATGATATGTATCATCTGGTGTTAGGAAATTGGAAATTAATGTGCAGAGGTTAAGTGACCTGTCCATGTAGTAAATGTGGGTCTGGGTTTGAACCAGTCAGGATCAATCTGGGAGGAATTTCTCCATCCTGGTTCCCTGGCCAGTAGAAAGATGAACACCTGTGCAGGTAACATCACAACGGGAGCACTGTGCAAGCCCAGCTGGCAGAGAAGTTCACTGCCCCAGGAGGCAGCAGGAGTGATGTTCCTTTTATGTGGGGCCCTCAGGGAGATAGCTTTCTTTGGCGAGGATGGTGTACCCTAAATTTATTTCAACATTGTGTCTAAAATTTAGGCACCCTGGAAATGGTGAGAAGTTAATCCTGGGAATAATGAGCTTGTGTGGAACTTGGAAGAAGTGGTAAGGTAGGTCAGGGCCAGATTTTGAAGGGCTGGTCCAACTGGGGAAGATGAGCACCTCGGCCCTGATGAGCGGGAGAGAGCCGTGGAGAATGATTCCACAGTGACAGCGCTGGTGAGAGGAGCTTTGGGAGGAGCTTCCAGGTGTTGCAGTCTTCTGTTCTTTCAGTGGGATGCTGCCCAGTGTGGGCTAGGCTGTGAATTACAGGTGTGAAATTCCAGCCACAGCAGAGAGGCTGGATTCATCCTCTGAGATTCCAGAGTGAGTCCAGAATTTTGTTCTTCTTGAGTTTTTTTCTCTCCTTTCTTTTCCTCCTAAAACAATGGCTGCTGCACCAGCTGTTCTGGTTGAGGGGGAGTGATGCGTACAGTGTTAAAAATACATCCCGAGGACTAGCATTTCAGAATACAGCCACATCTGCTGTACAGATAGCTCAAGGCTGCTTTTCCTTCTGGGTTGCTAGGGATCATCAGAATGTGGGAAACGCGAGGTATTCTGCATGTGCACCAACTCCCTTTGGAGCAGAGCTGCCATTCACAAACTTTCTCTGGTAGCTGTGGTACCTAATAGAAATACCTAAATGCTGTAGGATAAGAAAGAGTCCAAGGTGTTGAATTCAGGGGAGCTGTGGCACAGGTACTGGGAGAACTGAGAATGCAAACTGCAGGTGGTGAGGCAACCCAAGATGAAGCAACCAGAGGGAAACGATGGCCACCCCTAAGCAAAGGGACAAAAGGAGGAGTAGGGCAGGCTGCAGGGGCAGCTGGTTCCACAGAAGCTATAACTACAGAGCTCCATCTGGGGAGCCTTCCGGAAGACACCGTTGGTGCTGGAGCCGTGTTGGGAGCGCGTGCCTTGGGAACCCTGGCCTGCAGGACCTGCTCTGCAGCGCTGATAGAGCAAAGGAGCGAGGAATGGGGACAAGCTGGCCCTGTGCCAGAACTGTATGCATGTTGGATTGTCAGAATAGTAGTCTAGTTTGAGCTTGAGTTGTCTTTGTTAGGGAAAGAAGCAATTTAAAAAAAGAAGACTCCTCCGATAATAGTCCTCAAATTTTAATGTATAGACATGTTCCCTGTGGCGCTTGTTAAAACAGTGATCATGCCTGAGGAGGCTGGGGCCCCCAAGAAAGGTCAGTCTGTGGAACACACTTTGAGAAACAAGGCTCCTATGGCTTTTTTTTTTTTTTTTTTTAAGACAGAGTCTCACTGTGCAGTTCAGGATGGCCTTGAGATCACTTTGTAGCTTAGGGTGTGGTCTCGTACTCACAATGATCCTCCTGCCTCAGCCTCTCGAGTGCTGGGTTATGGGTGTGCACCAGTGTGCTGGCTCAGTTACTTTACTTTTCACTATTGTGATTGCTAACATTCTGAGTCTGACATTGTGGTCATTTCTTCCTGACACTCTCTGCCTCTAGCTCTAGCCTGTTGAGCAAATACTGGAGCCAAGGGAGCAAATACTGCACAAACTAATCTGGCTGAAAACTAGCACGGAAGATCTTCTAGAGAAATTGTTAGTTTATTGAGGACTAGCAGGAATGCCAGGGGTGGGCTGTTGTTTTTCTTACTCCACTAGTTCAGCTGGCCTCTGCCATACTGGGGGGTCTTGACATGGTCAGGCACCAGGCCACTGGTGAACAGCAGCAGCTCCTAGATGGGTGGTCCAGAAGTCCAGCCAGAGCTGAGGTGAATGGGCTGATGCTGGTGCTGGTGTGATGCTGTTCATCTGTGAGAGGACAGCAAGGTGGACCACTCAAGAGACTTGGCTTCCAACAGGTGGCTCTCTAAGGAGCTCGTTTGGGTCACTGCTGTGTTCTGCCTGGAAGCTGTGGAGCCAGAAGGCAGTGCTCAGAGACGTAGATGAAAGTCAGGGTTTGTGTTACAGAGCAAAAAGAACCTTTAAGAATAAGTGAAGCTCGATGGCTCAGTGGTCTAAAGCACCTACTTGAAACAAGCTTGGCAAGGCACAGGGACTGCGGTTCGATCCCCAGCACCACATGCCAGCCAGACCCGCCCCCTGGTGGGCTGAGCTGGCCACACACACACACAATAAATAAATGTAATAAATAAAAATAAATAAATATTTAAAAAAAAAAAAAAGAATAAGTGAAGCTCAGGCTGGTGAGATGGCTCAGTGGTCTAAAGCACCTACTTAGAACAAGCTTAGCAAAGCACAGGGACCACGGTTCAATCCCCCAGCACCACATGCCAGCCAGCCCCGCCCCCTGGTGGGCTGAGCGGGCCTAGGGACATTTTCAAATCAACCAACACAGTGTTGTTGCCAGCAGACCCACATTAAAGGAAACATGAAGGGTTTTCTGTTTGTTTTGGCTAAAGGAACATGACCTCAGGTGAAAGGTTAGAGTTGTTGGAGGAAAGGAGGGCAACAGAATGGGTGTGGCACAGGTACTCAGAAAAGATTAACTGATTGTTGACTATAAGAACAACCTCTGTCTTTTGGATTTAAAGTGAGTACAGGACTAGAGTGTGCTAAATCAGAATGGGGGTATGTGGAGTAAAACTGTCCAGGAATAGGGAAAAGAATCAGTTTGTGTTAGGCAAGATGTGTTGTAACATGTGTGGTGGCCACTAAAGCAATGGATTGTGATAGCTCCTCTAAAGTAAAAAACCCTAAACCTGGAAGAAGGCAGGACAGGGGAGGAACTGGGACTGTGCACAAGTGGGCCAAACAGAGGCCAATAGTAGTGAGAGCCCAGGGTATCAGTGAGGGGGTTTACACACTAGAGGACAGAGGATTGCATGGGCTATGGAAACATAAACCTGACTAGGCTGTTGAAAAGTGATACATTAAAACAAAGGAATGGGGAAATTTAATGAGGAAACTGACCAAAAGAAAGTCAGTGTAGGGGCTGGGGAGATGGCTCAGTGGAATAAGTGCTTCCCTGGCAAGCACAAGGGCCTGAGTTCAATCCCTGGTTTTGCAAAAAAAAAAAAGGTCATTGTAGTCATTTTGATATCAAAATGGGCCAAGGTAAAAAAATACCAAAGAGGGGCCGGGGAGATGGCTCAATAGAATAAGCGCTTCTCTGGCAAGCGCAAGGGCCTGAGTTCAATCCCCGGGTCTGCCAAAAAACAAAACAAAAAAACCCCAAAGAGATAATAAAAAGTTAATGTCAGTGACCTCCCCCCCCCCTTTTGGTACCAGGAATGGAACTCAGGATCTAGTGCTTGCCAGGCAGGTACTGTGCCATTGAGCTGTATCCAGTTAATTTCAGTAAAGTAATTTAAAAATGTAAGGAGCTAATGACTCTAATGAAAATAAAAACAATCCATAATCATAGAGGGATATTTGCACACACCTCTCAGATTTAGCATTGGGGACTGAACCCAGTCAGTCCCACCCTTTTTATTCAGAGACAGGGTCTCAAGAGTCATTGAGTTGTCAAGGCTAGACTCAAGCTTGTGATACTCCTGTCTCAGCCTCCCACAGTGCTTTGATTATGTATATGTCCCCCTCCCCCATATCTATGTACAGCTTCTATCAGATTTATACATAATATTTGATGTGTCTCTTTAGTTTTT